AAAGATAAAACAGCAATAACGTGTCTCTACCTTGAATATGAAATTATTGTAACTTAAAAGATTATGTTGTAAAGATCATTCGTATTAAAACACTTATTTTTTATTATTAGAGCTTATTTATTTATTCTTTATTGCATTTCTTAATCTAAAATATAACAAAGGGCGGGCTTAATGCCTTGTGGCATTCTCTACCAGTCAACCCATGGGGTGATAAGAATTTGAAATAGGTGTAGCAATATAGAATAAAAACAAAATAAAAATGATAATGAATACATAAAAAACGTTAAATAAAACGTTATATATATAATATATATATATACATTTTACACCTATATACAATAAACAAACTATAGAAATTTGTACCTATTTGTGTATAAATACAAATATATACATACATAAACATACATACATATCAACATACATATATAAATATATCTGAATATAGCTTAGCATTACTTACTTATTATCATTACGAGTCATCGTAATGTAATTCATCTGTATTATTTAATAGGCTTCTCAGCTTCAGGTCAGCTTTTAAAATATTTTTGTTAAGTTGTAGCTTTTAGCCGCGACTACGTAAACGTAGAGCTTCGGTCAAGTTGTTCTATTAACGAAAACGACTTTTAATTAATTGTTTTTTTGCTATTATCTCGAGAGCGTTCGACGCGGGAAAGTGTTTAAAATGAAAAACTGAAGCTCAATTAATTTGAGGAAAAAAAGGTATGTATATTTTATATAAATATTTTGATGTATCTAATCTTATTTAACGTTTCATTGAAAACATGATTCATGTAAATTGAGTTCTGCTACCGTTTTTAACGTTTAAATTTTCTGGTACAGTAAAGTAACAGAAAATCGAAAAACGACGTTTCTATCCTTTCTAACCTTAGCTTGCCTAGGCTTGATTTTAGGGTCCTAACCCTCTAGATTCTTTATTAAGCCCCTTGGCTTGACAAAGAATCTGCAACGCTGTCCTTATACATGCAAGTAAACTTCACTCTTCTTCAGTGTTCACTTTTTTATTTTTAAACATGGCGCTCACGATGCTTGCGCTTAATTGTGCCGGCAGGGATCGAATTTGGTATGCTCGCGAAGACGCACCCTGAGCCTTTTACATAATAGCTATCTTTTCAAAATATCACAGTTATTCTATAGTAAAACTAGTGGGACCGGCAGACGTTGTCCTGCCCTTTTCGATAGGTTACGCGACAAGTTACACTCTGAATTCACATCGTAATGTTTAACCGTGAAAGTTTAAAACTATGAAAACTCGACTACAGCGCCACCTATCTATATAAATGGAATATGAGTCAGTTTGGCCCATTAATATAGATTTTTTTATAACTGTCTGTATAACTGTAATAAACACCTGTCAGATTCTAGCATATACATATATGAATCATCGTCAAGACAAATATATTGTATGTTCTCAATCGTTCAAGTCGTTCAGAAGTTACACAATTACTAATCGATGCACCAATGATTACATAACCATAATATATAAAAAAAAGATTATTATTAGATTTCAATAAGCAACGACACTTCCTAATTCTTTATTTCATAGGAAATGCACCGAGATCCGAGACACTGAGTCTAATATCTCAGGGTGCCTAGACAGTAAGGCGCAATCATAGCTCGCGTCGCGGTGGTGTCACCCGTGTTGCATTGTTACTTGACGTTTTCTTGTTAACAGCGCGCTTTGCCTCCTGGGTCTCCCTATTCGACAATACAATTGTTCATATTTTATTACGGAACCCACATTATGAAAGTGTAGTCGCCAGATGCAACCTGTATTACAACACTGATACTGTAACAAAAGTTTGAGACTGCGCAGAATAGTGAGGAAAAAATAAAAGTTTTTTCATCAACATGCTAAGTTTAATAGTGAAGGGCGAACGTTACGTTAGCTTTTGAATAGACTTTAATAATGCGACGCGAGAAGAGGTTTAGAGAGCAGTTGAATTAAAGAAACGAGAAATAGTTTCTTTGAATGTATTTAAACACAAAGAACTTTACTTTTAAAGCTTACTGATATTTCAGTTATGAAAATCAAAACCTCAGTGCTTTATATAATAAAAAAAGCTATAAAAAGTGAGAATACCTAAGTATTTTTTTTGGATATGCAAAAATCGATGGATGGCTCAGGACCGTGTTTAGTAGAATTCATTGTGTGTCAGCCTATATACGTCCTACTGTTGGGAACAGGCTTCCTCTCATTTCTGTGAAGGTTTTTAAGGCAAGGAAATATTTGCCGTCCTGCCTCAATGCGTGTTGGCGAACTTCACATGTCTTCGAAATATTTTTTTTTCATATTTCTCGGCCATGCAAATTTTCTCACGATGTTTTCTATCACCACCGAGCACGTGGTAAATCGGCACTTAAAGTTTCAATTAACAATTTCATTGGTGCCAGAGGGGTTCGAACTCGAGTTGCTCGCGTACTGTGAAATTTACAGTCCCTGAGCTACCATATATTTATTTAAAAGAAATATACATTTCACTTAATGACAAGTTACAATATTTAAGTTAAAAATACTTAATGAGCATACAGAATACAAAAAAAAAAAAACATTTAAAAAGGAAGGAAAGAGTTTTGTGAAATACAACTTAATACTTCTTATACTCGTAATAAACATTATGATTGTATTACTTATACTTATAATGATTATAATGATTGTATTTGATCCATTGATACACCAATGATTTGATCAAACAAATTTCAACAACCGCTAAATGTTACCGAATCAAATCCGGAGTCAACACTTGTACAAAAACAATTTATCAAAATAGTTAAGTATCTGGATGCGTTCTTCACCAACAATTTATAAATATTTGACCGTTTTTTAACCATTTTTATACACCAAATTTAATATAAATATTCCATGCTATTAAAGACGTGAAGCACAAAGTGATACAAGGGTACTTGTAAACAGACCCTTGAAACCTATAACCGGTAAACGACTTAACGATAAGATCAGAAGTAGTCTAAGTTACCATTTTAAGGCACGATAATCACGGCACATTTAGATACAAAATAACGTTTGAGAGATAAAACTTTTACTAGTAACAATATTAACATCACGGGCTACACACACGTTTCACTACTTAGTATTGTTCCCTTCTATATTAATAAGGTTGTTGTAAATAACTACTAATGTTTTGTATAAGATTGTGATTGTAATATAAGTTTTCATTGTGTTGTGGCGCTGTAAGGATATCTATTACTCCATTTTATTCACTGGGTGTCGTAAGAGACGACAGAGTGAAACTAAGTGATAGAGGGGTAGTTGCATTTATTTTTTTATTCTTTATTGCATTGCTTAAAACAAAAGTTGTAAGCGTCAGTAGCCTAATGGCAGGGCGCGGACCGCGGACTCGAAAGGTCTTGGGTACGAATCCGTCATTCGACTACTGTCGTGAACCACTTCTAACACAAGCATTTTAAGCTTACCAGAAGTGGTTAAAGGGAATAGTAGTAATGTTTAATAGTATTACTAGTATCTTTACAAAAAAAAAAGAATACAAAGGGCGGACTTAATGCCTTGAGGCATTCTCTAGCAGTCAACCCATGGAGTGGTGAGAATTTAGCGTGGGTAGTTGCATCTTCCTGATAATAATTCAACATAAAAAAGGCTGGGGTTGCCAACCCGCCTGCCAAACATGGTAACTATGGTAATATCTATGAGCTAATCTACGGAGGCCTGTGTTTAACAGTGGACTTTTGATAGGGTGTATGTTATGATAATAGTTTCAAAACAAACATTCATAAAATTTCTCAATATAACTTAACTAAAACTATTCTTCGCGCTGCTTATTCAAACATAAAATTAATTTCGCTTAAAACAAAAGCAGATTTATCGTTTAACACTTGAGTTACCGCAAATACGGATGTGGCCGTTTCTGCTCACCGAGCGTTGTTTGAATGAATCCGGCGACGGGGAAGTCAGTGAGGCGGTATTGTCCGTCAGTCCAAACGAATACGTGCTGCCCAGTCTCGGACGTCGTCTGAGGCGCCGCGCCGACGTCCACCGACGTTATTTAAAGCCTCATTGTGACACTGACCATTGAGAGTTGAGACCTACCATCGCGATTTGACTGCCGATAAGCTCGATTGTTTCGACTGATGATATGTCACATAGTGATTTTAAACACGACGATTTTAATTTGAATAAAACTTTTGAGATATACTGTGATGATAACGGAATCCAAATGTCATGGTAAGAATTCAAATTTCGAATAAGGAATATTAATGATGTACGTTACGTTAAGACCTTTCGGACCATTAGATCGTTTTGATCTTACTATTAACAAGTATTCGTATAAACAAAAAGCTAAAGATACTGCTACTAGGCACAGTTTGGCGTTTGAAACGTCTTGGAACTAGCTCTTACCGAACACTACATAATACATAAACACTCACGCCTGTCACCCAGAGGGGTAGGCAGAGACTACGGACTTCCATTTGGCGCGATCCTGACACACCTCTCTCGCCTCTTTTACATCCATATATCTACGCATACACGCCCGTCGGTTATGGGTACTCCTAATCTGGCCCATTTTTAATGTATCGCCGATTTGGTCGATAAACCTTCGTCTAGGGCGTCCCTTCCCGACCCTGCCGTTCACTTCCGCAACATAAATTTGCTTTGTCACTCTTTCCTCGTTCATTCTTTCTACATGACCAAACCACCGAAGCATTCCTTTCTTAATCCTTGTCACAACGTCATCTTGCAAACCACACTTTTCTCTTATCACACTATTTCTCACCCTAATATAGTATATAATAATAACCTAATAGTAATATATATTACTCTTAATAAAATACTATTAAAACGCTTCTTACTTTTATATGGCAATTCCTAAGAGGAATTCCGTTCATTTGAACCTTCAGCGAATACAACATATATAGCTTCATTTATCTAGAGGAAGCAATCTATGAGGAAGCTACTTAAACTTTGACCTTAATTGGAATAATTCATTACAGTTTTCAACAATATTCAGGTGGTGATGATGATGATAATAATGCATTGGAGGCTACAATATCTTTTCTGGCAGTTTCTATAGATTCTTGAAATCTACTGGACAAAATGTTGTTAGGTGTCTCTCGCCATTCCTCGGAAGTTGTTTTTATAGATTTTTTCAAATATAAATACTCTAATATCATTATGTAATGTTAAATTGCCGTGATCGACGCTAGCAACATCAAAATGTCAAAAAATGGAAACATAATAAAACAATTGTGGAACTTTTATTTACCAGTAAATTGGGAACCTATATCCGTCCTACTCTTGGGCATAGAAAGCCTATTATTTCCGAGAGAATTTAGGAACAAAAAATTTACGCCCTTCTCTTTAGTAATAATTGAACTATTTTATTCATACAAATGTAAATTTTAAAATGATTATGTTGTATTTTATTCTATGAATGACTTTTACCTAACAATTACAAAAAAAAAATCGGCTCATAGAATAAACTTTTCGTAGATATTCAGATTTCCTCACGATGTTATTCATCACCAATGAACACGAGGTAAAGCAGAATTTAAATTGCAATTAACGATTTCTTTGGCACCTCGAATCAAACCCGAACTACTCGCGAACTGTGAAATTCACAACTAGCGCTTAGCCGCTGAGCTACTACGGCCCATGATTTAATTTCTGCATGAAACTTGTTATTAGAGTTTTTTTTATTGTATATATTTATACCTTCTCTACAATATTTAGTGTCAAATTAAACACCAAAACATCATTACTATTGAATCGGATCTACGTAGTCATCCATCAATCTCCTTGATTTATTGATTAATGATTATCCGTTCAATTGACAGAGAGTAATTAAAAAAACGTCCGTTTATCTATCGTATTCTCACGAGTAACAGCCGCTCGTCTTGCCTAAACTAACCACAAATAGTTGGCATCTAAAGCCTTTAGAAATTTATCTAAATGAAAAGATAAAGGGAGATCTCTTCAAAATGGTTGACATGTAGCGAAGTCAAATTTTTTCATTATAATGTGTACAAACGGGTATGTCGTGAGTCGTCTGTGCCATTTTGTTGTGACAGGTTATTTGTTTTATTGGGCCCGATGTAATTCCGATGTAAGGTCGGATGAGATTGAAAACGGTACTTCAACAAATTTGTTACTGGGAAAACATGCGATAGATATTTCTTCATTCGAAGCTTTATAATTAAATATCCACGACATTAAATAGTGTAATAATAAGGTCACTTATATACATTTCAACCGACTTCAAAAAAAGGAGAAGGTAATTAATTCGACTGTTTATATTCGACCGATTTTGATGATTCCTTTTTTATTTTAAAGCTGGTGCTTTTCATGTGGTCCCGTATAAATTTCGTCAAGGTTTAACCGATAGTTTTTGAGTTATCCTTAGTAATGCGTATTTAGTTGACTGACCACATTAATGATGTTCTCATTTTATTTATATTGAAGTCAGTTGTACCAAAATTTTAATTGTACCACTTGTTTCATTATTAAGATGTTCATAGTGCAGTGTGTAAAAAACGATGTATTATATTTATATACTTTGAATATAATTCATGACAGGTTTCTAAGAATTATTTGACAACGAAGTTATATTGAGTAAGTGTACTCACTGAATAATAATAAAGTCTTCCCGACCGAATTTCTGTTACGGTGGCCAGTCTCAACGGAGATTCGCCATCTGTGCAGGACAGGATTATAGTAAACGAGTGAGTGCACAAACACAGGTACACTTTCTATTCCTTCACCCTCATAGTCCGATGGGACCGCAATGTGACACGACTAGGGAGAGATCAAGCAAAGGACCAATAGCTTTCCATGCTTACAGAGGCACGGGGAAGAAACACTGCCAAGTTCCTGACTCTGGGCTCGAACTAAAATAGAAAAAAACGATTGCTAACTTAGTCGCGCTACGAGACCACCGACTGCCTCGTTCAATCACTGAATAATTAGATAAGAAAACTTGGCCTATTTCGACAACGAAGGTATTGAGTATGCTACCAAAATATTTTAACTGCGTATGAGAGTGCATTAGCACCTAGCACCTCCAGAGACACTTCATTTATTTATTAACTAGTTGTTCTCCGTGACTTCGCCCACGTGTAATTTAGGTTTTTAATTATGTTGCCCGGAACCCTTATTCTTTTTCTAAAATGTAAGCAGCCTAAGTTACTCCTTATAACATCAGCTATCTGCCAGGGAAAGTCCCGTCGAAATCGGTTCAGCCGTTTCGGAGATTAGCCGGAACAAACAGACAGACTGACAGAGAGACGGACAGACAGACAAAAATTTTAAAAATTGTGTTTTTGTTATAAGTACCGTATATACTTTCATATACATTTAGTAAAAAGCTGGTATTATGATATTACAAAGAGACACTTCAATTTTATTTATTTCTATAGATTCACTCCTTACAGCCCATTAAGTTCACTGCTAAACGTAGGTCTCCTCCATAGATTGCTTCACAGTTAGGATATTTGCCAAAGTTGCCACGCTTAGTAGATGGCTTGGAAACCGTAGTCTTTTTTTATTATCTTGAGTTGTTATCAGGAGGATACCGCTGCCCATCTCCTAGTTAATTTCCCTATGTAGCCTCTTACGACACCCATGGCGTGATACGTGGTGGTGTATTTTTTTACGTTGCCACAATATATGGCGTAGAGACACTTATTTATAATATATTAATATAATAATAATAACCCCCCCGTTGTATCTTTACTTTGACGACGTGGTGGGGCTTGCGTGCTCCAATGAACTTTAGGTTTATGCCGGTAGAGTTTACTCATGCCGAGTTAGATCTAAGGCGAGGAGCCAGACTAAAAGAGATACAATCCAAGCCAAGGTCGCACATGCCGAGGGCTGTATGGCTACGGGAGAGTGCTAGTCGATAGTGTGCCAACTCTGGATAATAGGGGATCTCCAGTTTTATTTACCCTTGCCGCAGTGAACGCAGAGCTCTGCTGCGGTCGACTCTGTAAGTCTCTAGCTACTCGTGTGAATAATATGATTACTAGATCAAAAACAAAAAACATGCTAACACTAACCTGCCTCAGATAGATGATGAAATTTCAAATTGCAAGTCATCATCTTCTTCATCTCTTTTCCATCAATACCATCATCATCACAACCACTTTGCATCAACCCGACGACATCATCATCGGCATTCAGTATACAGTCAGCGGATGTTGTACAGGAGACAAATTTGTTGACGAAACTATACCCACCACTAGCACTGCAACAACTCGTAGGAAATGGAGTATTGAAATGAAAAAATTCATCCGACGCACTTATCTTCATCTTACTAATGTGGACACAGACAAAATTGCATACCTTACACCTCTTCACACTAAGTTTTTAGAAAAATACCCAACTATGCAAGTAAGCCGACAAAGAATAGGTGACCAGCGTAGTTCAAAAAAAATTACTGCCACAGAACATAATAGATCAGATTTTTGAGGAAGTTAGAGCCGTTCAAGTTAAACAAGTGGTTCACACTCAAATACAGCAACACTTCACACAATATAAAACACCAAATAAAATAAAACCAAGTCAGCGCATGAAGTGGACGGACGATTATAATGAAGCATTAATTAAAATATATTACACTGTAACTCAATTAGAAACAAATAAGACAGCCTATAGAAAACATCTACATGAAGAATTTATAAACACATATCCAGAATTAGCACATGTAACAGAGCAAAGATTATCTGATCAAACAAGAGCTATTATTAATAACAAATATATTAACAGGAACAGACTAGAAGAAATTAAAAACCAGGTAACAACAGAATTAAGGAATAGTGACAATAACACATAAAATACTGAATACATGAGTATTGAAAATTGGAACACACCACCGCAAAACAACTTAGAACAACCTGATGAATACATCCATACACTAAACACTCCACATACAATAAATTACACCTCTAACACACCTACAAATACCTTGGCTTCAAAAATACCCCTCAACGATAACACACAGACTAACATCGTATCGCACAGTCTCTTGAATACAAATGGTGAAAATATCTTAAGTAACGCATGTTTACCAAATTAATCAATATATGTATAAGTAACACATATATTGATTAATTTGGGCCTCTGCAAACTAACTTTGGTGCTGCTCCAGAAATAAACTCGGAAATAGAACACATGTTTCTACAAGCTCAACAATATTTTTCAAATACACACCCCACTAACAGGCCATAGATTCCCAAGCAGAAATTGTCTAGAAAGTTAACTGCTATAGTAACTTATATAAACTCTGTCATTCTTCCTAAGAACGTAAATCTACGTACCGATTTCATCACATTGCAAACAAATTTTATTGTGCAGCATGGACGGCAGCTAACTGCAATGGGGCTAAAATATCACACTCCACACAAAATGAAAGACGAGCTTATACAAAGAAAAACCAACATGGCAGGTCAGATTAGAAAGGAAAAACGAAAATTTAAGAGCACACATAGGCAGACTGACACACTTCATTAACGGTAGCAGAAGTAAAAAAGTAGTAGCTGCAGTAGAAGAAATAAAGAGAAAATACCAAATACACGCACAACACGAAAACTCGAATACAGAACTAGAACACTTTTTGGACACTTCAAAACAAAAATTAAATGCAGCATCCAGTAGACTTAAAAGATATATAACATGCACGAACCGCAAAGTACAAAACACAAAATTTACCAACAATGAAAAATTATTTTACAGAAATCTTACATCTAATAACAGAGACACCAGCAACCAAAATCTAGAGACACATTCATCAGACACATTGCGAGAATTCCGGGCCAACATCTGGGAAAATCCAGTATCGCATAATAATAACGCAGACTGGATTAACGAGGCAAAACCAGAAATCCCAGAAATGAAATTTGAATTTATACCACTAAATACATTTATAGAAGTCCTCAAACGCTCACACAACTGAAAATAGCCAGGCATAGACAATATTCACAACTACTGGTATAAGAAATTCACCAGCATACATCCATTCATACATAACCACTTAAACGCATTCATCCAATCACCACATTTACTTCCAACATACATAACGCACG